TGTATCATATACTTTAGTATGTATGGCAAAAATGAATGCCAGGACGACCAAACTGTGTCCAATGTTTTAATGGTATAATCAATACAATATTTTTTTAAAAAATAAAAAAATAAAAAAATAAAGAATTGAAGCAGAGATCATCTGATTGCAAAAGGTGCATGGCTGGATTCACACACTCCACTGAGACATAAATCAAAATGTATAAACTATAATGGCTGGGTTCACACAACACACTATGGCACTTTTTTTTCCATTAAAAAAATCATATGGTGGGTAATTTCAAGAGATGCCCTTCTTTTTTGTAGATCAAGGAACTTTGAGAGTCTTTCCGGGGGATGTGTTCCAAAAAACACAAGCACAAAAATTAATTATTGCATTTAAATGTAATAAATTACATTGAATTAATTTAATTCAAAGTAATTAATGTAAGTAATTGAATTAATTCTGATGGACAACAGTACATTCAAAAAGGATCTCAGAATCTAGCTGGATCTCAAGCTGAACATAATCCTAAAGGGTGATGAAACTACAAATAAAACAAATGCATTGCTAGATAATAATGTAATAGTCAGTATTACACCATCATTCTTCTCTATGCCATACTGGTCAGACCACATCAAGAATCTTTCAGGCACTACATTGTAGGAATTTATTGACAAACTAAAATGTGTCCAGAGGACAGGAACCAAGATGATAAAAGGTCTGAAAGGAAGCACTTAAGAGGAACAGTTGAAGTCACTGCATATATTTAGCATGGTGAAAAGGAGACAGATGCTGTTTTCAAGTATCAGCATTCAGTCTCCTATGGGAAAAGGGGCAGAATGGTTCTGAGTTGTTCAAGAAGACAGGATAAGAAACAGTGGATTTAAATTATACAGAAGTAAATTGCAGTTGGATATCAGTGAAAAAAGTCTTAACAGTAATAGCAATTGAATAATGGAGCAAACCTCCTCAGGAGGTGATGGACTGTCCTTTAGTGGTGATATTTAAACAAAATTTGGATAGACAGTTCTTGACAAAGTTGTAGCAAATAGGATTAGATTATCTCCAAAATCCCTTTCAATCTTTATATTCCATGATTCTGTTCTTATCCTATGAGCTGATTGTTCATAATTACACTTCATCCTCTCTGATTTAATTTGAGACCTTTCTAAAATTAAATTAGGTCTGACACCACAAGCAGTCACTGAAAAACACATTTATTTATTTATTTGTTTGTTTGTTTGTTTGTTTGTTTATTCAGAAAGTTTATATGGCCGCCTACTTGCTCACAGCGACTCTCGATAGCTTACAAGCAATAAAAATACAGTATAGAACTGTGTTGGCGAACCTAAGCCACGCATGCCAGAAGTGGCATGCAGAGCCATTTCCCACAGCATGTGGGAGATCGCCCGGAAGAGCCCCACTGCGCATGCACACACATGCTGCCGCCCAACAGCTGATTGTCGGGTATCTGGCACGCATGTGTAGGGGCGGTGGGGTGTGTGCGGGAGATGCACGTGCATGCGCAGGGGGCGAGGGGGGCTCAGCATGCATTGCCTTCTGGGTGCTGGCACACAAATGCACGCAAGCGAGCGTGTGTGCAATTATCGGCATGGCAGCCGAAAAAGGTTAGCCACCACTGGTATAGAAAATAAAATAAAAAACAATAACTCCCACCACATGTATGCATTGATATATATTGAAAATCTCAGAATAATGTCTTGTCCGAAATTTTATCTTCTTATAAATATCCACTGCTACAATATTTTGGGGCTATCATTATGCACATTGATTAAATCACAAGTTTAGGAACTGCATCAGAATACATTCAGTGTGGTATCTTAACAAGCATGGGACACATTTGTGAAAACTGGTTACTTGTAAGAGGTGTAATGAAGAATGATACAGAAATGTATACATATAAGAAAAATAAAAGGACAGGAGACAGGGACAGGGATGGTAGGACAGGGATGATAGGCACGTTGGTGCGCTTATGCACGCCCCCCACAGACTTCTTAGGAAAGGGGTGAGGTCAATAGTAGACAGTCTTAAGGTTAAAGTTTTTGGGGTTTGGGGAAGAAACCAGAGTCAGGTAGAGTATTCCAGACATTGACCACTCTGTTGCTGAAGTCGTATTTCCTGCAATCAAGTTTGGTGCGATTAACCTTGAGTTTTTATCTATTGTTTGCTCTTGTGTTGTTATGGTTGAAGCTGAAGTATTCATTGACAGGTAAGTCATTGCAATGTATGATTTTATATATCATACTTAGATCAGACCAAAGAGTGTAATTCAAGGTATTCTAGGTCTAGAATTTCAAGTCTGGTGGCATAAGGTATTCTACAACAAGTAAAGGATGGGAGAACTCTTCTTGTGAAATATTTCTGGACTTTCTCAACTGTGCTAATATCAGATATGTAATGTGGGTTCCAGACTGATGAGCTGTATTCAAGTATTGGTCTAGCAAATGTTTTGTATGCTCTAGTTACTAGTGTGATATGACCAGAGAAAAAGCTATGTAGGATTAGGTTAACAACTCTTAATGCCTTTTTGGCTATGTAGTTACAGTGGGCTCTAGCACTTAGATCATTAGAGATGAGTATTCCAAGGTCCTTTACAGAGCTCAGATCATCAACAAGGTCTTGACTATTCAGCTTGTATTTTATTTTCTGATATTTTTTTTTTGCCAATATGTAGGACAGAGCATTTATTTGTTGAGATTTGAAGTTGACATTGTTTGACCATTCTGATACATAGTCAAGATCTTTTTGAAGGGTAGCCGTATTGTCTGTGGTATTGAACAGCTTTACATCATCAGCAAAGAGAATGCAGTTGCTCTTAATGTGACCACAGAGGTCATTTATGTAGAGTATGAAGAGAGTCGGTCCTAGAACACTGCCTTGGGGGACACCACTATTGACCAGTATAGAATTTGATAGGATACTCCCAATTTTGACCATTTGTTGTCTGTTTGACAGGAATGCTTCTATCCAACTGGTTCTATCCAATGCAGGTGTCCAGAGATACCATAAGATTTTAGTTTTAGGAGTAGTTTGTCGTGTACCAAAGGCTTTACAGAAGTCTATGTAGATTGCGTCTATTGTTTTGCCCTGATCAAGTTGTGTACTCCATATGTTTTTGCAGTGTAAGAGTTGCAGATTACATGATAGTTTTTCCCTGAAACCAAATTGTTTCTTAGATAGTAGATTGTTTGTCTCTAAGTGGAGGATAATGGACTGGTTAATAATTGATTCCATGACTTTACAGGTGATGCAGCTTAAGGAGATTGGTCTGTAATTTTCAACTAGGCTGGGGTCTCCCTTTTTGAAGATGAAGATGACCGTGGCTTGTGACCATAGGTTAGGCAAGGAGCTGGTCCTGAAAGATTTTTTAAAGGTTATGGTTAGAGGTTCTGCTATGGCAGTGGATAGCTTTTTTAAGAAGTAGGCACATATTCCATCCGGTACAATAGATCAGGGGTCCCCAACCACCGGGCCTCGGACCAGTACCGGTCCATGGACCATTTTGTACCGGGCCGCCTACTTTGCTTGGGCGCCGCCATCTTGTTTCGACAGCGCTTGAGAAAGTGCTTCTGGGTGAGCTTGTTGGTCGTCGGTTGGATGGAAAGCGGCGTTTGGGTGCTGAAGGAATCCTTGCGCCTTAGTTTCGTCGAAGGGGGAGGGGCGGCTTCAAACGAAGAGCCATCCCAATGGCGGTGGAGTCTCTCATTACTCAGGAGGAGATTAAGAAAGAAACCGAAAAGCCCATCGATCACGAGAAGGTACAAAGGTTGAAAGTGGCGGGAAGCGCGGAACGGCTGGCTGGCCGGTTGCTCGGCTTGCCTTGCCTTGGTCATGCGTGCTGATGCCAGTACCGGTCCGTGGATCATTTTGTGATGCCGGTACCGGGCCATGGTACAAAAAAGGTTGGGGGCCACTGCAATAGATAGAGATGGTTTTAGGTTGCGTGGTGCTTTTGCAACATTGTCTTCTGTAAAATCGATATGTATTAGATCATTGTAGTTTTCTGTGGTTCAGCTAGGAAATATTGGGCATGATCCATTGCTGTTTACAAATACTGAGCCAAAGAATGTGTTAAAGATGTTAGCTTTAATGGTGTTATTGTTGCAGTCTTTACCATTCGGTCCTTTCAGGGGTGGGATGGACCTTGAGTCTTTTAGTTTGTTGTTTACAAAATTGTAAAAAGTGTGGGTAGAATTGGTGCATAGAAGATTTTTCCTCTTGTTTAATGTGATAATTGGTGTATTCAGTCTTTATATGGTGGCATATATTTTGTATCGGCTTTTGAAGTTGGCAATGTGACCAGATTTGTTTTTCCTCCAGAGTGATCTCTTTTTGGATTGAATTTTCCTTATTGTTATGGGTAATCTGTGTTTTTTTTAAAAAAACAACAACTTAAACTTAAACTATTTGTAGCAACAGTGGAACATCAACGCTGCATTTCTTAATGCCGCCATAGACATATAAATTCATGGTCTCCCACGTTCTGAAAAATAAAATAAGATTTCCCTCTCAACTCAATTTAGGTAAAAGCCTGAATTGTGGGTTTCTGTTTCAAAAGTTTCAAAAACACTGTTAAAATGTTGGCCTAGTTGTGTTGCAATCAATTTTTATTTCGGACTTCCCACTTAAAAAGAGGATGGGTAGTTCGCCCACGAGAATACAATACATGTGTGTACTTATGTTTACATCTAGTGGATTACACTCCATGATGTGTTATTTGTTCACATGTAGAGATTTTCTTGTTCGTCTCGAAACACCTGTTTCCCCAAATCATCCACATTCAAACGCTCACCTCCTTCTCCCGGTTCTAGTCCTCGAGCTCCAGTTTCCAATAATAGAGGAGGCTTAAAAGACCGTGCAGAGAAGACCACATTTCCCAATAGGCAACGAGAAGAGAGAGGAAAAAAAATGCTCGCGTGTGACGCAGAGACCTCTGGGTGTTGTAGTCCTCGTGGGAGGGTTTCCCCCCCTCAGCCGTGCTCCTCCTCCTTCTCCTCCTCCTCCCTCGCTCTCGTCCCCGAAGACGGAAGCCTGCGGAAAAGTGAAGAGGAGCGGAGTTGACAACATGGGGGGCTCCAAAGTGAAGGTGGCGGTGCGGATCCGACCCATGAATAAGAGAGGTGAGTTGATGAGCGCGGACCGGGCGCCTTCCACTTAAATGTGAATGGAAGAAGAGAGGAGACTTCCCCAAGCAGCGCCCAAAGAAAAGGATCCCCCCCCCCATTCCACGCAAATAACATTTGGGAAGGAATCAAACGTCGAGGGGCAGGAACCGAGAACGATCTTTCCTTAAGGGCTTGGTGGCTGGGCAGGACTTTCATTCGCCTCCCCTCCCATGTTGGAAAGGGGTGTCCCTCCTGCAGACGATTAAAAGTGGAGAGAACGAAGGAAGCTTCGGAATGCTTGCGGGAAAGACCCCCTTCCAGGACCACAGGGAGAAAGAAGGACGAATATCACTTCCCTCCTCCCCCCCCCCCAAGCTGTGTGGGTGAAAAGCATCTAAAAAGCAAAAAAGACGGGGGGGGGGGCAGAAAAACCACTGCCCCATTGCTGAAGTGTATATTTAAGGAGTTAACAATGCCCCCCCCTCCAATATAGGGGTAGAGGGAAGGGGTGGCTTTCCCCAGAATTGAAGGGCTGCAGATGTGGCAGGGAAAAGCCTCAGCCCACGTTCTGATTTGAGAAAGTCTGGGGAATCCTCTGTCAGAAAGTCCAGAGAGAAGGGCCACTTCCCCTCCACTGTATGGAAAAATATTTCCACCGCTGTATGGAAAAAAATATTTTGCCCTGGGGCAGGAGGCAGAGACCAAAAACGGGAGAAGAGTCAGAAGGAGCAGCAGCTGGAAACACAGTATGTGTGGCCTGCCTCCTTGCTGAGGTGAGGGAATCCCTTGCCAAGGTGAAAGTGTGGCCAGGAAGCCTAAACACAGAAGACAGGAAGGCGCACTACCAGCCTGTGTTAGGAATTGGAGGGAAGTTCCCTGCTTGATAGGCACTGCCGCTCAAAGAGCAGCAGGGACTAGGTAGACCAGAATGAAACTGGCCAGTGTCCTATGTCCACCGGCCTCCCCTGGGATAGGAGCCAGAACAGAATCATCTGTGCTCATAAGATAGGAAGTCCTTCCTTCGCCTGGGACAGGAAAGCAATTGAAAATGTGGGACCCAAATTTTAAGAAGGAGTTAATAAGCAAACACTCTCTGTATATGTGTGTAGATTAAAGTAAAATCTCTTCCTTTAAGGTCAGAAAGAACCAAGTAAATCTTGAGCAATTTGGAGGCCAGATGAGAATGAGAGATAGACTGCCTTTATACGATATGGGTCACCTGGTTGTTAACTTTTCTGGGTTTGCACAAGAAAATGACACTACACATTAACCCGCTACCAGACCAAACAAAAATCTTAATGTTAAGAGTAACTAAGCCTCGCAAGTTATGAAAATGGGCTGCCAAGTTGTTAATTGACCTGGCTTAAGTTACTAGTTGTATCAATGTCATCTCATCCTTTTTCCCTTTCTTGTAAATTTGCCTTTTCCCTTTTGGGGTGATTTTCTTTTAGTATATCTTTTTCACAGTCTCTTGTTTTCACCTACTCACATTTATTTCTACATTGTAGCCAGATGTACAGCATTTGTGCCTCACAAGGGCACTGCTTTTAATTCAGGTTGGCAATATGAATCGTAATATTACCCTTAAGAAATTTGCATGCATGATGGTAGGGAAGCACTCAGTGAGGTGCTATAGCTGCATTTTTTGCTATATGTTTCTTCACAGGTGTCATCTACCTGGGTGAGGTAATACAAGCATGGGGATTAAGACAGGTTGTCTCCTGATATTTCAATTAAAGCATGTCCTATCATGGAAGAAAGACATGAATAGTTCTTCTTTGATAATGTTTGAAGGGAGGGAGGAAATTTTCTGGTGTTCTTACACTTGTTAAATTAGTTAGATAAGCAACTAAATGGTATTTTCATGATATGCCCCCCCCTTTTTTTTAAAAAAAGGCCATTTTATAGCACTTTTTGTATATAATACCCTCTTTTTCCCTACTCCACATATGACCTCCCCCTGATAGTATGATGGCTTTTCTCCTCCCCTCCTATAAGAATTAATATTTCAAAAAGCTAGTTGCTAAGCTTTGCATTTTACAGGATGCTCAAATGCCAAGTAGTCTAAACTTTCTTGTCTGTTAGGTTGGAGAGGCAGAGACTGCACTGAGAAACCTGTCCTGTGCTATGAATTTTCATCCCTGTCAAGCTGCTTAGGTCATCTTCTACATCAAGCAGAAATGATGTTATCATAAGACGATGAATATAGAAATTCTTAACTACTCCAAAGTTGTGATGAAAATTAATTTATCCAATCTATTCACTACTCTAGGCTAAAATGAGGTTGGATTAGGGTTCATTGTGAGAACCCAGCAGTTATACTGTGTGAACCACAGTACCATATTGTATATTTACAGCCAAACAAATAATATGGTTTGCTTCATTGGCATAACATGCTAAATGAATACAGCCATTATGTTTTATTCATCTGAGTTTAGAATTTACAGTGTTTCATGGATGCTTCTTTATAAGGTTTCACTAATTTATTTTCCCTAATAACAGGAATAATTCTGATGGGAACAATACTTTTTAAATGTCTTCCCAATATCATTTTTGTTACTGTGAGTTTGTAATTATCTGATTACAGCAAAATGCTAAGGTCTGAAATCTTTTTCAAGCCTAAAGAAATGCATATCTAGTTCTTATCAATAGATAATATTTATCAATACCCTGCCTTTTTTTCATTTGTGCTCGAGGGCATCTGTCCTTCTGAATAGTGTGCATTTTGCATGAGCTTACAGAATTATCAGTCAAGTAATTATTAGATGAAGCCCTAAACAAAACGGCTTTATCATTCGCTCTGGGCCCCACTCCCAAGGCCATAAGACCATTTAGAATTTCAGCTGCTGCTTTTCCCTGTATGTGGCTTCTGTTCAGAAAAGGTATTTTAAAAAAGGTTACTCTTATTAAATGCTTGATGTGTAGTTGAGATCCGTTAGACCAGAACCATATTATTCACAATTCATTTTGGTTTGGAGATGGAGAATATTGTTGTTCTGGTTTGATCTAAGAATGATATTCTCTCCATCCAACCAGATGCTCAACTCTCCTCTTTGTTCCCAAGCGTAAAATTGTTAGTGTTGAATTGGTGCCTGGCTAAAAATCTGCCATCTAACATCTTGGGAAGTGAAAAGAAGGGGGGGGCAGGGACAGGGAATTTTTAGTGGCAGGAAGGGGCTGACTTACTCCTCCTCTTCTCCATTACTCTGGACAATGTCTATTTCAGCTACACTTGCATAGTTCTTTATTAAATTTGTACTCTAAAATTTGTATCAGTGACTCTTTTACACTCTGATCTCCCAGACAGAAACTTCTTCAATCTTTCTAAGATGATTGTTGACATTTTTGCAGATATCATAAAGGCTATAGTATTGCAGAAAATCATGAACTGGTTGAGGCAAATTTCTCTATATTTAAACTTTTGAAAGTAAAAGGGTAAGTGGATATGCATTTATATCTAGCTATCTTTTCCCAAGGTAAACTGTTCAAACGCTTCATAACTATGCATGGTATCAAAACATGCATATTTTACATTTGAAACATATACAGTATGTGCGTGCATCGTATTGAACGGAACTTGAAAATTTGTTTGACAGCTGAATTTTAAGAGGAGAAATTGGCACTTGGGGGGAATGGCTGAGTTGAGATTCCAGTAACAATTGTGCTTCTGTGTTGGAGAGTGGCAAATATCAAAGCTCTCTCTCACTTTGGAGTAAAGATGTCTTAGGCATGCCATTGTCTGCCCTAACAATAGCCTTATCTAGAGAAAAATGGTTTAAATGATCTTTGTTTTCAATTACAAATGCTTCAGTTTCCTGGAGCCATATGTTGAAATCTCTCTATATTCATCTCACAAACATATAGGAAGAATAGTTTTAAAACTTTATTCCTTAAAACCAATGTTTTGCCATTTGAAAAATAGAACAATAGCTTAGTTGATCATAACTAAGTTGAATCCTTTCTCCTGCTTTATTTTGAAGGAAACATTTCCTCCCATGTTCAACTAATAATGATATGGAGTTACATGACTTATGATCATAAATGGGAAACCTCGGATATTGAGCAAAGCAGTCCTTAAGTGAGATGCCCACATGACTACTTCGCTCAATGACCATAAACATGGCACTCGCAATTGTGGTCCTTAAATGATCTTCTGGGTCATTAAAAGGATGGAGTGAAAGGGCTGCCTGCTAGGAGGACATCTCAGCTCCATGTGCAGCTGACATTTCCCACCCCCCTTGCTCTGTCAGGCAGCCCTTTGAGAGCTGAGACTTCTCCGCTGAGAACTGAGAGCTGAGATTCCCTCCCAGAGAACAGCCCTTTGAATGAAAGAACAGGGAGGCAGAGAAAGGAAAGGGGAAGGAAGTAGCGAGAGAGGGATTTTCGGCTCCACGTATGCTTGGAATTTGACTTCCAAGGTTCAAGCAGGCACAGAGTTTGTGGTCTTTCTTTCCCCATCTCTGCAGAGAGCTCTGTGCAGGTGAGGAGAAAAGGATTTGGGGCTTTGTGCATGCTTGGAAATCCAGGCAGACATGGAGCTTGGGGTCCTTCTCTCCTGCCTCTGTGTAGAACTCCGCAGAGCTCCGTGCCTGCTTGAATTTTGACTGCTGAGGTCCTGGAATAAATGGAGTTTGAGGTCCTTGTCTCCCTGCCTCTGCAGAGAGCTCCGTGGAGGTGTGTAGAGAGAAGGATTTTAAGCTCCATGCCTGGTTGCCTTTCAGTTATCGAGATTCATGCAGGCAAAGATCAGCAGGGTGTTCTTTTTTTTTGCCAACCCCCAGAGAAAAGAGGGGCCCTCTTGGCAGGTGGCAGCAGCTGCCAGTTTCCCCACTGACATCCTGAAGAGGCTGGCAAAGATGACTGCAAATGGCAATCATGCAATTGTGGGGCACTTGATAACCAGTTGTAAGTGTGGGCAGAAGAACCCATATCACAAAAACAGTGCCAAGAACCTATATCATAATCACATGGCTATGTTTGTGTGTGACATTTCGTAATGGTTGGAAGTCTTTTAC